CAGGACGACTTTTGGAGTTTCGCTCAGTATGTCTGACGAGTGATCATTATTTGATTTCTACCCAGTCGCTCAAATTGTTTTGCATTTCTTTGCATATTCTGCTTGTATCGTTCGGTATTGATACCATTAGTCATCTTTTCTTGGTTTTTTGTTCTCTCCTCCTGCTCTTAGACATATCCAGTACCTTACATTGTATTCTTACTGGCGAACCGATCAACTCGGATGCGTTACAGGCCAGTTTGCTTGCTCCACTCCACGTCCGATTGCCCTCGGCTCCGCAGCTCACCCTTACCCGTTCGACCGCGAACCAGACAACCACATACAAACGCTGCCGTTCGCGTTCCGGAAGTGGTTCTCATAGGAAACGTTCGACCAGTGGATCACGATCATTCAACACATCTCGATCTCCTGCGTCGGTATTTGACCGTTCTAGTTCAACTGGTCTGTGGCCGCCGTTGTTCTTGACCTACTCGGCACTTTCTGAGGTCACTCGAGCTGTACCTGATCTGGCCATACATCAGCGCTCACAGGACGATATCCATGGAGTGGTCCAATTGATTTGGTATGTTTTTTCCTCATGGTCCTTTCTGGCACTTCACCCGTACGTGGTTTGTTACTTTCTTCATACATTGGTAGAACGTTCAATTGCGATCGTCGTCGTGTGCTGTAATCGCTTGAAACTAATGTTTTTTCTCAATCTGTGATGTTCAACACTCTAGTTCTTAAAAAAATCTAGGGTACCTTTGATAAACTGATGATCTCTCTGGACGTTTTGAACTGCCTAACTAATTTATTCATTGGTTTTAAGAAAATGAAACATAAAACTGGTTTGAACAAGACATTTGTCGTTCCTGATGAAGATGAGAAAGGTCTGTGCATTGATTAAAATCTCTGACTACCGAAATAAATATGTTATTCAGCTTTTCTTTCTACCAGTTGTTAGGTATTCTGCTCCCGTTCTCTATTCTTTTCGCTCTCTTTTTTACTTGTTTCACAGTGAGTTTCTACCCCCGGTACCGGCAAATTCCTTCATTTATCGATCCATGGACAGTCGTGCACCGTTCGCTGCCTTCCAACCCTCCTTGTCGTCCAATCAATGTTCGGACTCCAGCTCGTTGATTTCTCTGTCCACAACACTTTCCTGCTCTTTAGCACATGTTCTAACCGGGGATCCCGTCGGTGGAAGCACAACCACCAACAACGTTGATATGGCAGATTCATCCACATCAAGGGCTAACAGACCCCAACGATCGGAAAGTGATCGGGTTGATACAAGTGTTCGTGCACACGCGACTTCCAGTGGACTAACCGGCGGTTCTCGTTCTCTCCGTTATTCGGTATGTGCACAATGGTCTATCCTCTAGGTTACCGTTCATCGAATAATTTCCAGTAATGGGATGCATTCGTCGTAAAATCCTTTTCCCCCTAAACTCGGTTGACTTGGAATATGCAGAATAAGGTTTCTCTTTTGAGATTTGGCTATCAATCACAACCGAAAGATTTATCCACCTGATCTAACTGGGGAAGTAATAGAGCGAGTGGATGAGTTTTGTTATTTGGGCAGCTATCTCCCACCCGATGGACATATCATGAATAAAGTGTCAGCTCGCATACAGATGGCTCGGTTGGCGCTTGCCAACTTGAGACATCTGGTTGTCCGTGATTGGTCGAGTATATGCCGCGATGGTTCGGCCAGTTCTGCTATCCGGCGCAGAAACTGAGCCATTAAGAAAATAGGATAAAGATAAATTGTCGGTGTTTGAACAACGCGATCTACGCAACATTACACGAATCTGGTGATGCAGCCGGACGAGGAATACTGAGCTAAGGCGGAGAGTCTTAGGTAACTATGATCGCTCACTGTAGCAAGTGATCGACCTCCATAGATTGTGTTGGTTGGGGCATGTCACCAAATAAGTTGCCACGGCGAGCGGTGTTCGCCGGGGCAGGTATTGGGTGGAAAAAAGCTAAGGGTGGTCAACCTAAAACCTGATATGAGCTTATGAAATCCCTTACCAGAAAACTGGGCCACATAGGTCCCGTTAGGCTCCCTGAATGGGAACTTCGGGATGATCGTAGCCGATGTCTAGAGACACTAAGTGCTATGGCTGGGTGTCATAAACAGTGTCTCTCGTGCACCTTCTCAATCTCTTTGCAACATTAGTCTACTAAACCTCTCCATTTTCTATAAGACTATACTTTCAACCTTCTTGCCCTTCTCCTACTGTTCATCCAATTGGGAAGCCAAACGACAGCAACCAAAACCGGCTCACAAAAGCNCACGGTTAATGGTTGTTCGAACTGAAACTGAAACACTCATAGTCTGATGCAAATATATCAAACATTCGTTCAGCTTTGCGTTCAAGAATCCTGTTTTAAAACTGGTAAATTTCAGTGCAGGTTACGAGAGTGCATGGTTAGTGGCTGTAAAATTTGATCTGCTGCAATGCCATGGATCTTTTAAGTTTACAAAGTCAATTGTGTTTTCATTCCCGGTAGCAAAGTTTGTCCCCTTCCGTTGTTCCCCAGATTGGGATTAATTGGATTGCATAACGGCATTTCACCATCGGAATAAACGTAGATTCCATAGCATTGGTCCAGATAATTGATATACCTAGCTGAATCGTCACTTTGCCTTTTAAAGTGGCCCTGACAATCTTGTTCGGATATAGTAATTTTTATGAAGCACTTAGGTTACCGGTTTCCATGATGGAACAGCAGGTCTTCGTGACGATAGGGTTCGCCCGTCTGTTGTTCACAACACAAATACGCGTAATAAAAAAAATTATTTTCCGACGAAAAACTGTTGGTCACTATGGTGCACAATATCCTTAATAGTGAATCAGCGTACCATCAGCCTCTCCTTGCCTTGCCCAAACCGTTAGGCCTAAAGAGAGATCGGTTATAATTGTTGCAAACGCCCAAACTTTCTTCATCTCTTGTTGGCATGGTGTTTCCCGTTTTGCTGTATCTTTTTCGAAAGTGTGTGTTGATTGATTTTAGTTTTTAGTTACACTCCATTGAATGAGTTTTCTCTAGTTCCAACCGCCCCAAATTTAACGGAGTCAGTGGATTTGTTGCTTGCATGGTTGAATTCCAAGTCCTTTAGCAAGTACGATATTCTTCGAGAGCACATAGCCCTCAAGAAAATTTCATACCATATTGACATTTGCCGCTTCAGTTTGTATCCTAATGGGTAGAAGTTATCTTCGTCTCTTTTTTGATCATACATCTTACTTGTAATTGCAAAGTTGGTTCGATCAGTCATTCTGCAGTGTTTAGACCGACTTATTTCGTTGCCGGTTGCAGTTTCCATTCTTGATTGGTTTCTCGTGACGCCAATCACTGACAGTGGCGGTAGTGATGCATTGGTTTAGTCACTGACACCGACCCTCAACCTTTTGGTCCCAAATTCAAACCCCGCCACCGCCGCCAAACTTTGGGGTTCGCGACTTTGCTGTCCTCTGATTTAGCTACACTCCTAACCTAGCGGGGCCTTATTTGATTCGCCATTCCAAGTCTCGGGTCTTATATTCCCGGTTTCCAACATTCGACAACAGGTGTTCGGGGTTATGGGGTCCACTCCGTTTGTTGTTCATTACACAAATGTGCGTAATAGTAATAAAAATTCCAGTGCGTTCTTAGTATGGACTAGTAATCATTAGCGCACGTTCCAAAAACACTAGTAAGTTACACTGAGTTGGTTCTAGGAAATGATGGAACGCGAGCAGCGATGAAGGGAAAATTGTCAATCTTACACTCCCCATTATTTACAATAAAAACTCAGGAACATTATTTTTGTTGTTTCCTCATGATTTCTACATATCAGCTCTGCATGTATATTCTCTTTTCAATCTTTTTTTTCAAAGGAAACAGACGGTCACTCAGGTCTTCCCTCCAACCGCGAGAAAAATGGCGCTAACACCATATCGTACTCTTCCGTTTCATCTGCATCGTCGGAAACGCTTCGTCACGTCTGCCTCAGTTTGCCTCATGTCTCCTTATCCCCCACGACCGAAGATCCCCGTGCATCTTTATTATTTCATGAATGTGAGGCTTTGCATGCCCGTTTACAGCGCCAGTCTGCCGTAACTATCGTCGTTTCGGATGACAGTGAGCAAGCCATGACGGTCCCCGGAACCACTCGACGTCGTTCTTCCGGTCGTCATCGTGCCGGCGACGATCGTTCGACCACTCTCGCAGGTGCTAACGCGTCCGCTTTAGAATCCGTCGCGGAACTGGACCATGATCATCGTCCGATCGGTTGGGATGAAGAGACTCAGTGTTTGCAACTCATCCAAACTCTGTTGCCTCTGCTTTTCGAGCTATTCACTGAGACGACAAAATTGCAAACGCGTTTACGTTGTCTTGAAGCTATTCAAAGGTAGTGCTCAGTGCTGTTCTCTGAGTGCGCTAGATGAATAATGCTTACAAATACCAGTCATTTGTTTTACTCGTAACTTGGGCGCAGCTGAAGTTTTTGCATTCCTAATCAGTAGGTGCACAGCTTAGTTGCAGACCTGTCGGAAACTAAGAAATTCAGGTCCTTTTTAGACACGAAGACGAACAGAAACATCGATCTGCGTTATCTATAGATGTTCAAGTCATTATTTTGCCAAACTGTGAACGTTATTCCTACTGAGGAAGCTGCGTGCATATCTGTTGCTTTTGTTCTACTATCGCCCGGTTACAATTTCCCTTGTACGATATCGCTCCCCGATGAACTATCTATACCAGTCATGTGATCTTTTTGTCGTTCTACTTTTCCCATTTTGCTTCCTTGATGTTCGTGCTATTATTGGTCTTATCACCGTAGTTCGTGGTTGTTTTGTATGATAAGTTGGATCTTTTTTGCGCGTTTAGTGTTCCAGTGGTAAGAAAATGGTATCGATCAACTATCTTCAGTACTTTGGCATTAATTTATTTATGGGTTTTTTCCTTTCCATTTTTTAACAGAATGCTGTTCTACTCCAGTCCGGTCCTGTTGGCCAAAGTACTTCGTCCCCGTCATGTATGCAGTCACATTGTCGGCATGTTGAATAGTCCAGAAAAACGGATTCTATTAGCCGGTCTGCACATTGCACTCATGTTGGTCGATCGAATTCCACCCATGTTTGCCACATACTTCCGCAAAGAGGGTATTCTGCATCATGTTGAACAGCTGCATACCACACTGGGCTCATTAGTCCTTGTGATGCCGTCTGGTAGCGGTGGATCAGATGAACAGGTTAGTTGATCGTGGTCCTATCCTAAACTGTACCTCCCTTTTAATCATAACCTGTGCCAATCTTTCATGCGCATGAGCTATCCGCTGTGCACCGAATGTAGCCGAATTCATTTTTACTACCGGTCCCCATAATGTTGCGGTTTTGTGAATCACGAGGATGGAGGTGGGAGGGCTGTTCGGCTAGAGTGTGCATTATCGTTTTGGGGAATGACAAGTTGGCAGTCAAGTACTCTATATTTACTCTTGAAACAATCAGAGTTTCTGACCTCTTTGACATCTTCTCGTAAAATGGATCTAACCACGAGTTTAGGGGGGAGAGAGATAAACTAAACGATCCATCAAGTCCTATGCATTAGATTTATCTTTTTATTCTACTCTTATTCGCTATCGAACTGTCCTCAAGTTCACTGTCGAATAGTTGATTAACAAACCCCCTAACGGCCTATGCCATGTTGAGCACATCAACTGAATTCATCCGGTTGTTGACTCACTATCGATCATCTCACTCGTTCGCTTTGTGAGCTGTCATTTCTGTGCTCTGTGTTTTTCTTTTGCACCCATTCACACATCGCTGGCCTCCAAAATGAGTGCACTGTGAGACCTCAATCAAACAGTGATCACGGTCTCCTCCGTTTTTGATGTGCGCTCGCGTGTATGTGTAGATATCTAGAAAATTCTATTCCAATTTACTGCAACACTTTTGCATGAATGGATGAACGTGTTCTGATCTAAATGTCATGTTCGGTTTACACTAATCTGCATAGCGGGTTGTCTGATGAGTAACTTTTGTACAACTATACCATCTCGTCACAATGCGAACCACGCTGTGATTGCTCTTCCCAAGAATATTGTGGACATTCGCGCAATAACTGGTTAGTTCAACATCGCTCGTCGGCTAAGTTTAGTTTCAAATTTCAGACTAAAACCATTGTAACATCAGAACGCAAGTCCCTTGGCAAATAGTTGTTTTCAATGATTCACAATGCTGCATGTATAGATCATTTATAAGAGTTTGTTGTTAGTGGGAAAGTGTTGGTCGGAAGGTCACCTTAACGGGGAAGGTGAGGGAGAGGCTTGCATCAGGTGGCTCGGTGGATGAAATCTATTGTGATCGGAGTGTTAGTGTTCAATTCGGAACTCGGGTAAATAGAATGCGTGGACAAGTCGCTTTTGTGCGCATAGTTCGGGCTGGAAAAGGCGACTGCCTATCGACTAATTGGTGACTAGTGCCTTAGAGGGGTTGAGCGGTCAAACGAAGGATATCTGTAACCTCGGACTCTGGTCCAACTTGATGATCTGTATCCCCTAGATGGTGAAGAATGTCGTTCCCTATGTTCGTTATACCTCCCTGAGCCAGCGTGAACAGTTTTTCTTCATCCTTTGGTGTGGTTGCCTCGCCTTACGGCAGATTTACGTTGCATTCTGAATACACCTGAGTGAGTGAATCACCGTGGAAGTGACCAGCGTACACAGACTTCCCTTCAAACGGCAGTCGAGCTGCGTTATATTTTTGATTCATTATAAGCGTCAAACGTTGTTTCAAGAGGTCAGGTACCCCAATTTCCTTGAGAGGTAGACGTGGGAATAATTTCTTCTTCTGAACCTCGTGAACCTATTCGGATAGGGTCTCTCTTGCGATTCGGAGTGGCAATCGCTTCCTCGTCACTCCCAGTTTTAGCGTATATTCATGGAAATATTAGAACCTGCGATATTGAAACAAGAAATTAAGGAAATGACACATTTTGTCGTACACAGAAAGACATGAATTCGGAAAGAGTGCTCCAAATATTCATTGAGGCTCAGAAGTCCATTCTGTTTGCATTTGAAGTGCAAGCAAATGACAAATTAGCAGTTATATGCAGTACTTCACCGGAGTAATGTTGAGTCATTAGAACGTCTAATATGCAGAAAATGGCTTGGTCTGGGCAACGTACTAACTTTCTCTGCTTCGTTCAGATCGGGCAGGGAAGAAAAACTTCATTCAGTATAAAATCGCGAGCTCGCAAACTCTGCTCTCTCAGTGTGTGTGTGTGTGTGTGTGACACCTTGCGTAACCCGTCCCAGCCAACTTAATCTACAAAGTTCGAGCACTCACTCCAGTACAAGAGCGCGATTACCTAAAACTTCGTCTCATGTCAGGAGGTTTTTTTTGCCCCGCTGCTCCACCAGACTCACAGTGCTGCGTGAACAGTGTTACTATAACACCGACAGTCTATCCTAATTCTGCTCCCTCAACGGTCAAATTGCTGCGGCTGCAGCTTAAACTCGACCCTTACCAGACAGCCAGGTCTCACGACTGGATTAAACTGTCTTCTCCTGTATGTGTAGTCTATCCACTGTGTTATTTAGATGCGCATTAAAATAAGGCTTTCCGTTTGTCAACTAGATACAGGGAATGCGAGAGCCAATAGCTGCATACTCAATGCAATCACTTCGTTTCTTCTAACTGCTAACCTCAAGTTACAAATAAAAACAGTGAGTTTGCGTATTAAATAGGTCTCATTATGCTGGAAAGTACCGATTCCCTGTCCGTCTTACCACATCATATTTTTCGGTCTTCACAACCTGACGCTCCTAGTGTTCCTTTGTTGTGATCACTACAATTCACGCCATCCACCTATTCAGGATCATGTTGATAACTCAAATTGACCCCATTCGCTCGGTTTCACGATCGGTGCACCACGTAACGAGAAGCTGGAAAATAGGTGTCTAATGCGTCCGACTGCTTACTGACCCGGTTGTTTCTGCACTTCCCGCTATTCGCCTTGGAACCGCGGTAATTCTTACAGTGACTAAATGTCCCATTGTCTTATCCAGACAAATTTCATTACACTCCTACTGAACTGGTTAGGAGACGTGCTGAAGTGATTTTGCGGATTATTCGTCCAGACATACTGATTTTCCAATGTACACTTCATTCAATTAGCTTTAGTTTGTTAGATTAGCTTATTTTGCGACTTCTGTTCTTCTCAGTGTATTTCCGGGTTAAATCGAATCGCTTTCCTCTGATGCTACTTTTTTACTTTGTTGACTGACAACTTTACGACATTCTTCTACCCACTGTTTAGTTGGTTTCCCCAGGAAATCTTTGGAATGTGGTGTCAGAAGAAACCACTCTCCTCGTATCCGCTAAACACGACACGTCCGATACTGGAGAACATGACAATTCATCTGGTTGGCCTACCACCACATCAAACTCCGGTACACTTTTTATACCAAATCCTGTCTATCGTCGCGTGCACAATACGGAACCATCTACGCCAGTCAGTGAGCGTCCCCGACGATCGAATCATCACAATACGGGGTCAGGGAACACTGGTCATGTTAGCAACACAAACAGTTCAACCGAAGCCAACAATAATAACTTCTATAAACATGCTCCCGTGACCACCGGTGCCGTGTCAACGCCGGTCCTGTGTGCTGGCACGGACGAAATGACGTAAGTCTTCTGTCCGTAGTTGAATGTATGTTATTCTTCCTCGTAAGGAGTTTGAGTTTTTTCGTTTGTAAATTCGTATTATATACTACCGGCATCGCCATTCCGGACCCGACAATTGGCATCTTCCTAAATCGGTATTAAGCGGTGAACCTAATAGTTTCGTGTTCCATTGGAGCCCTTGCTGATTCCTCAATCCGGATCATGAAACTTGACTGCCAGTTTTTAAAACTGAACACTTCAGCCCTGTGGTTATCATGTCCGTCCCTCGTTTTGTCACGTAGTGCTGTGCATTTATTAACTTGTGAAATCTTAGCTGCCTATCACTGAAGGGGGTAGGTGGTGATAGGGTTTGAATCAAGGAGCTCTACAAACCAACGGTGCCAGAGTCGACTTATTGGATGCATTGAATGCACGTCGGAATGTTTTGTTGTTGTTGATCGATGTTCTGTATGACTGGGTTTGAACACGATTGTTTTCTTATCCTGACAAAGAAAGGTGTTCTTAGGTGTGTATGAAAAACGCACCAATGTTCCCCCAGTTTGATGGCTTCTTAGCTCCGATATCGATCTGCTAGTCTCCAATGTTTTCCAAAGCATCCAAACCAAAACTTCCGGTAATTGAGTAAGCGCACAAAAACCTGTGCTGTTTTTTTTGGATAAAAATTAATCAACAAAATGAGTCACGTGGTTTTCGAGATGACAAAGTTGGTCACATGTTTTAGATTTTTTAAAGCACGCACCGGTATATCAATACGAACGTGGAGATAAAACATTGCAATGTATTGGGTCTCAACGATAAGAAACAAACAGGCGTCAATGTTTATCACACTCAGAGCTGGAAAATTGGCACAATCGCTGGGATACGGATATTGTCATTTATATCTTCTGGGTCTGGGTTATTTTTCGAAAATAAACTATGATCTCGTGCTTATCTTCATTGTCTTTTGTAATTTTCGGTACTGATTCGAAACCGCAGTTTTTTTGTAAAGCTGATTTACTGCTTGCGTGTGAACTCTGTTTTGTGTGGAAGCTGTTTGTCGCTGTTCAGCTCTTCACTTTTATTGTCAAGCTCACTCACTCACCTGGTCACGAGCACTGCAATGAGTCCATTTCGATAGAAAACATCGCTGTTATCGTCGTGTACTGTGCTTTATCTGTCTAATCAGTTCGTTTTGTGGTTCCTCACGTACTGTCCCAATATTCTGCTCACAAAAAAAGTTTGGTTTATTCTTTTATCTTAATTACTGTTTAACATACAACATTAATACTATCCGACCGTGAAAAGGTCGGTCGAGATACCACTTCCTATCCAAGTGGATTTCTACACCGGCAGTATCTAAATTATTGCTACACCAATGATCCTCAGCAAATTTCCGGAGCTGAATTTGCGCTTTATATCAGGTCCGTGGGATATTATTGCTGTTACAGAGACTCGGTTCGCAGCCGATATTCCGGACTCCTAATTGTCCTTATCATAGATGTCTCTGCTCAGATGCGATTATCCTTCCTACCCATGGTGGTGGTTTTATTCTCGACTATCGAAACGATCTTGATTGTGAGCAAATCCACCCCACAGTTTCAACACTTGGCACTCTGTGGTGTAGGTTGGGATTGTCCAAACACGATGATTTTTTGATTGGCGCAGTCCCCATCATCCCTGGAGATGGCCAATGAATCGCTTTTGCTAACTATGTCATACACTAGTACACAAAACTTTACCTTATGTCGTTCTCCTAATGGGTGATTTCAATTGCCCCAATCTCAATAAATCAGCGACCGTCCGTCCATTATTCGGGCATCAATTCAAACGGATGATTGACTCTCATCCATCATACAACCATATGAAGGAAGCCACCAGATTTGAAAACCTACATTCACTATCCATACTGGATTTAGTGTTGACCAACGAGGAGCCGATGTCAATGTGAATTGACCATCCCACCCCTAGGACGCAGAGATCACGTAGAACTAACATCAAATATGTTTGTTACTCTCCCGTTCATGGAAGTTCCCCAGATAACACGCGCAGATTCATAGACTATACTCTGTTTAAAAACTTTGCGCTCTCTACTCACTGGGTTTCTTATGACGAAAAACCCAAACCATTGGTCGCCTGGCAGAAATTTATTGACAGTTTTACAAACCTAATGACATCAGTGACTAAGATTAGAGAGCTCGCCAAATCTGGCATCCTAAATTCACCTATTTGAAGCCGCACAAGGAAACGGATCTATCCTGGCGAGATTATAAATGTCTTCTGAATGTTGTCACGTTGAATAATTATCGTATGGTATGCTGAGGAATCACTACTTCAAGCTGATTCGTGAGGACCAACTGAAATAACAAGAGCCGCTAGCACAGAGATTCATCTCTAACCCTAAGCCGTTGTATAAGCACGTTAACTCAATTCGGGAAGTAAAGTTTAGTATACCGGCACTAAGCGGCGTTGAAAGAGTTGCGGCCTCTCCAACGGAAGCAGATGAAATACTGAAAACTCAGTATTCCAACGTTTTCGCTGCACCGTAGGTTGAAGGTCTACAGCTACCTCCCCGGTTGCATCATCTTCTATATCCTTTGCTGACCAACGTATCGTTTACTGCTGAAAACGTAAAAGCAAAATTAATGGCTTTGCGAAAAGATGAAACCCCAGGTGCGGACAATATACACCCGAAATCCCTGATCTTTTTCCCAAATCACATCCGAACCACTAGACATTCTGTTCCAACTAATGTTCGGCCAAGCAACACTCCCACAACCGTGGAAACAAGGAGTTATTTTGCTCATATGCAAAGATGGTTGTCGTAGTGACTCCGCTGACTACCGACCTATAGCCCTTCTTCCTGTGTTATCGAAAGTCATTGAGTCAATTGTGGCAGATTCTCTGATGGAACACCTCGAAAGATACATTTTTCCGACAGCTTAACACGTGTTGAGGCAACAGCGATCCTAATCCGCCAAGCTGCTTCTCGTTCGCTATGAATGGACCAGAACATTCGGCGAAGGGGATTCGGTGAATGTGTTTTATTTCGACTTCTCGATCAATATTAATGTTTTATTTGGTTGTTTTTGGCCTCTATCACTATTGTTCGGTAAAGATGGAAGGAGTGGTATTTGGGTATTATTGTATTTCTTACTACTACGCGCTTGTTGTTCACCACTCCGATTCGAGGAAATCCTCCGACCACATTTGATCACGTGTGCGCTACTGTTTATTCCTATAATCCTCCTTAATTCTGTACTTTTGAAAAAGTGCATTTCTTAATGATTATTATCGTTGGTAAATAACAAGTAGAACGCTTTACCTGTGTACAAATGTTTGGCAATATCATATTTTGACTGAAATGAGTTGCAGCTTTAATCCACTTTTCGGTTAAAGCTTTTGTAATCTGTTTCCTTTTTTCACAACTACTGTCCTCAAAAGCTTATTCTTAACCTTCTCTCAGAAAGGTGCTGTAGACAACAACAGTCAACCCTGCGGATGTACCACACAGAGACTGTTCTATTCAGTGAAGATCACGGGTGATCCACGTTGAGACAGGGGGCAGAGTTCATTGTAGCTAATAGAATATAAGGATAATTACAATCTTTCCTGGTCAGGGAAGAGAAAATCGCCTGCTCACATGACCATCACGTGGCACAGCGACTTTTGTTACATAATCCAAACAGCTTATAACTTTGGAGTTCTCTTGGGCTAATTGCCAAGCACATGACCCACCCACCTTTGACTCTATTGAAACTGCTTCAGATAAATATCATTGTAATGGCTTAACAAGAGATTCACCATTAGCATATATTCGCCTACATTGTGTGTTATCAATGTAAAATAGTAGCATCCACAAGATTAAGACGAGTGTTCAATAAATAGACACAGTTCATTGCAACTAGTTAATGTGCTAAAATTGTGCTTTGGTCTTGCTGCTAATGAGCTAGACAAAAGTCTTTGCTTTCCGTATATGCGATAATTTGATTCAAGACTCTCTTACACTCATCCTCTGAGGTGACCAGCTAGAAGTAGTTGAGAGCTTTGACTACCTCGGGAGCTTGATTACAGCTGGTGGTGGTGTTGAGGAAGAAATCACTTCACGAATAGAGAAAGCTAGGGAAGCTCTTGCCAACCTGCGACACCTGTGACACTGCCATAATATTCGACTGTCCCTTGAGAGAAGGGTGTACATCGTCGCGAACTGCTGACTGACAATCAACGCACCGGCGAGTAAAACAGCCGAAACCCAAAAGCCTTGTGTGGTGAGTTTCCAAAAGCTACTGCACAGGTTATTCAGTCACATTTCAGTTTTGGGTCTGCGCTGCACTACCTTGATCCAATCCCTCTGGTCAAGGTTCGAAAGAAATTCCGAAAACTCCCGTCGCTCAGCACGTCAAAATTCTAAGTCGATAGCTCCCACCAAACCTTCCAAAAGTTCCTCGTTGTGGGCTACTGCAACGTATATCGTGCCGTAAAGTCCCAGGCGCTCATTTGAAAATCCCTCCTCATCTATCGAGTTTTTCCTTTCACTTCCAAAGAACATTAAGTGCCACTAGGGAATAGAGCTCGGAGTTTGGTTATATAGATAAGCAAATCAGAAACCAGTAGATTGATTAAACCCAGATGCTTTTCACGTAACTGCAGTCAATATGCGCACATCCCGTGAAATTAACCAACAAGCCACCTGAACTAGAAGCGTTCAAGTTTTCATATTTAGACGTATAATGCCCCTGAAACAGTTCTTTTTCGTCCAGTTCCTTACGGAAAGTGGTGTTCGCCGGGACTGCCCTCTCTCTGTCGTTTTCTCTTCACGTTTGTAATGGATATGGTTCTGGAAACAACCCCCATCCCCTGCCAGGATAGATTTTTTATATATTCTAACAGGTGGTAGTTTGATCAATATAGTGCAGAGTACATTATACTGCGGAGTAAAGATCTTAGTAGATTGCAAACATTTCTTATTGGGTTAATTAGTAGGGTAGTTGTGTTTGGCGCCTTCGAAATGTAACATTTTTTACGGGACTCATTCTATTTGGGAATTTATAGGGAAAAGAAACAGATTTCACCATTTGAGTGCATCTCGCCTAGTGGACGCATCATGAATGGAGTGTCGGCCCAATAACAGAAGGCTCCGTTAACATTTTCCATGGTGCCGTCCAGACTTCTAGCCATCTTTGAAATTTAGAGCGTATGCTGCATCAGTTCGGTCGGTGTTGCTGTATTTTTTTAAAGGCTTGATCATTAAGGAAGCAGATTAAAGATGGGCTGTCACTTGGCGACCTCTGGATCAGAATAATCGCAGGTTAACACTGCTGCGCATTCGTCTCAATATCTCCATGACTTTAGTCTGCCGGAATTCTACATAATCCCCTAGGTACTGTCTCCAAAGTTCTTCCTTCTACTGTATCCTGATGGGCTGCCAGAAAACGGCAACCAAAGCCTCACACGAAAGCGCTGGACTAACCGTTATGTGTGCTGAAACTGAAAAGAATTTGACATTTTATTTCCAGCTGTCCACTCACTAGCCTTCGTTGGTTGATTGGGTTGGTAGGCTTGTCATCTGCTAATTTCTTTACCGTCTTCTTCATCTGTATTGCCTATCGCAAGGCTGATTGAACAATTTTTATTCTGTGTACCGAACGTCTACCATCTCACTCCTCCCTCATTTCTTTTTTGATTGCAAATATGCCATAGAACGGTGGAAAAGAGAATGATAAAATAATTTTCACTAGCTGCTTTTCTGACTTGAGAGAATGTAAATTTCACTGTCGATCACACCTCGTGAATCATGATACTGTCATCCTTGTGTGTGCATGTGTGTGCGCGCATCCACCTGTAAACTGCACGTTTTGCGATAAACGGTGCTGTTCTGTCGCAAACAACTGCATTTATCACCTCAACTGTGTGACACTTGGTGGTGGCAGTTTATTCCCACCGGATCTCAATGAGGTTAAATGTTTCAGATATTCCGTATCATATCCTTCTAATGTCCGGTTTTCTGTGGCGCATCCATGAAAATATTCGGTAGTGAAAAGCAGTCTCAGAATTCCGGCGTTCTTCTCCGCCATCCCATATTGAGAAATGCGCTACTCGTGTATCGTTTACAACTCGTTTACTCTTGAATGCCAGGTATTTATTTTTTAGTCATCCCTACATGTCTAAAGTGATTTTTGTCAATAACAGTATATCCTGGCTGGTATCAGAAATACACGGTGTGTTGTGGAGGTATGCACAGACAAATGAAATCCGCTAATGTGGAGTTGAGTTGTCTTGGGTACAATGAATTAGGTCTGGTGTCGTACCGGACATTAGTTGTCTACCACTTCTTTGTACCTTATGGTCTAAACTCCTATGCTCGATGATGATTTCCTGTGCAGAACTGTCCTATTGGTATAGTTGTCTTTTTCCTCTCTTCTTGATCATTATATTATCTGAAACTTATGGACTCGTTCTACGACAGTAGTCATAATGATAATGTTTACGTACATCCATTCGGTAAACTACAAATGTATAACCAATATCAGTGTGCGGTTGGAAGCCAGTTGACAGCTGTCAGTAAGCAGATAGGAAATTAGTGATACGATGGCACGGTTCGAATGTATGTACTACTAGACAGTGGGGTGACGACCTACATGTTCACTTACCTGAACAATCTTTGATTCGGATTTGTAAAACACTGACTACCGCTCCCCTACTGAGTATTTATCAGTCATACAAAGTGTAGATGCAATGTCAGAATACGTTACAATTAACCATTGAGTAGTTAATTTCTGATCTTACTACATAGAGGCTAATTGATTATTTGCTCCCCTCGGGGTAGAAATGAATGTGCATTTTTGGAGATTCTAGAGCTTTTAATTTAACTGCGTACTACATTTGCCACCCTTTTCTTGCGTTTTCTGTTCATCTACCCAGCACTGATGATATGCTATCCTCGTGGATCATGTTTGCATGCGAGCAGCTCCAGTCTCGTGTGGCTCAACTCATAAACCATCTCACACGAAACGAAGACTCTATCAAGGGTGCAGTTGATGGCATGGATGATGCCTTAGCTGGTTTGGATCTAGATCCGACTCATGTAGTCCCATCACGATCCCCGCTTGCTCAATCCAACACACCCATGCCGACCTCCATAGATCTGATGCCAAAATTGACCGCGATTGCCACACATCTAGGCTCGAGCAAACCAGCTCTGTGGGTGTTTGCTTTCGCCCAGTTGATCGAGCTACTGCGCCCAACTTTAAACCCAGCTGCGGAATCCCCGTCTCCCTTCGAGTTGCAACAGAGTGGTGTTAATGCCGCGCTGTTGCGCTATCTGACTGAACCAGACCGGTGTGAAATCCGGTTGTGGATTCTTTATCGGGTGAGTCACACTGTCTCAATTCACTGACGTTTTCAAAACAAATAGCTCATAATATAGCCGTAGACTGTACCGCTTTCCAAGTTCTCGCTGCAAGAATTTACCTAGTCTGGTTACGGACTGTCAACTGGGTCACGGTGCAGAAGTGTGTCAAGTATTTACTTAATTCCACCCGGAAATAAACGTTCAGCAGAATCTGCAAAACGATAAACATAGAACAAGCACAACATGACCACAACAGCAGTGGAATTGAGCTAGGTCTTCAGTTCATTGTAGATAGAAGAACCTGACGCAATAACGTATGACTTAGGATTTAGAAGTTCCTGCTAATGAATGCCTAAATTCGGTACGATTGCTTGTGGTTGATATACAATACATGATTCGGTGTGCAGAGAACCTGTAAGACCGATGAAGTGTTTGTCATGCTGGTAAACGTTGGAAAGTTCCTATTTCGTTAAGCTGGTTGTTAGACAAATCAGTACAGAATAATGAAAGTGTGATCAATCTAGGAATCAGTCTTTTGCAAGGAAACCATAGATCAATATCGAGAAGCATATAGCAGTTGGTTTAGAATTTAATCACATACGAATTGTTTTATCAGATGGAGAGGTTTAAAGTGGAATTTACCGCGGATGACACGGAAAGACGGCCTTCCTAATTTTGGGAAAGCAGAAAGAACGCGTTGAGTCTAGGTCGAAAATAGATTCTTAACAGGTCTACGACCGGTTTAAGGTATATCGTACATATAATGTATATATATATACATATATATATATATATAAACAAACATTCTCAACAGAATTATTTCGGGTACCAAGACATCTGTAGAAAGACTCAGATAAATTTAAAGTTGCAGATTAAGATAGTCCAAAGCTGATGTCATCGTTATGCTTTATAGTTGGGGCATCTGAAAAGACACGGGTAATTTAGATAAATACAAAGAAAATTTAAAGTTGACCTTTTAGCGCCTGGTCCAACTGCGACAGAGGGGGTTAGCGGAACAATGACTTGACAGTGAAAACGGGTTAACTACTGGTGCTTGGTGAAATTAGAAGGAAGATGATGGCAAAGAGAATTAAAAGCCTGTTTCTCCTGACACCACCAAAAACATCGCTACAATCAAAGAAAATAATTCTCACCATTTTCTATTGCCTATCTGGTGTAGTTAACGTGCAGTGTGACAGTGAAATAAGGATTTCGAGTTTGGACCGGGAACCTGGTCACTCAGTACCTCTCCCCATTGGTGAGGCTTATCCTGAGTTTACTACACAGGAAGTCTAACATCAACTGCATGAACCAGTTCCCTGGTCCAGGTTCTTACACCCGCTGGCGGGTCACCTCGATCCCCCACCCACTACCTGTCAAGTGCCTGTTCCAGTCCGCCGACGCTATCACTTAACTTCCCATTGATATCAGTTTTCCACGGAACATTGAACGTTCTATTAGTGTAGGTTAGATTGCGTTAATCATGACTCACCCATTTTCTCGATCGCCCTACGTAGTGAATGAAATTGGTTCATTCCATCTTATTCCGAGACCATTGCTAAAGTCTGTCTGCGTAAGATGGTGAGTGTATCAGTGTTTTGCTCTTACGGTACATTGTCGCGCGTGTGTCCATCAGATTGAAGTCCGGTCCTCAATGGGTATCAGAATGAGTTTGCAAGTTTGAACCTGTGATTCCGCAGCACTTTCGTGCGCTCTGCCATGAATTCGTCGAATTGGTCTTCTCATCTTGCAGTAAAATACACCGTGACCACAAGGGTATTCAGAGCATTAGTTCCTCTTCTGGTGCTTTAGAAAAAGCATTCTACAGTGTCTTGCCATCTACCGAAACTGGAATGTTCCACTGAAGGTTGTGCGTAATGATATGGTCTACATGTGCGTGTGTTTTACAGTGTATTTTAGTTTTAGTTTTTTTTTAAGTTGTCACAATTGCACTTTTTGCCCTTTGTTTTATTTTATCCCTCATCTCTTTAGATGTTTTTCCGATCTCGAGCTAGTTCCGATGTCCGTCTGCTATCTAGTATGAACCTAATACAACTCAGTCGTAAACAATCTGCTACCGGAAAGAATTGGCCTCATCTTCTTTCAGCGAGCCCAGTTCTCCTGGAACCGAGCAAAGCTGATCAGCTAATGGAAGTGGATCGATTTTTAAACGCACAACTTTCTCGGGCTCCCGATGATCCGCTTTTCGTAGACGGACCGGATGCTTTTCTCGCTCTTATTCATTGTGCCCTTGCCTGTTTTCATCGTCACGAGCATTTTCAGGTTTCAGGAGTACCCCCTCTTCTTGGCTCAGATAACAAATTGCTTAGTTTGCTTCACACTGAGCCGCAAAACAATGCACCTCTGGCTGCTCATGACTTAGAAGATGGAGCTAACGCATATGCTCTTGCGTCTACTGCCCTAGCCACTACCAGCACAAGTCAGTCCTCTACGACAGACAGTTCAGGTCATTCTTTCACCACTTCCCCAGCTGCTCGTTCGAATAACCGTGGAAAAAATATGCCTTTTCAAGGCACCCACTTCCCGCCATCTGTAAATCCGCAAATGTGCGCTGCCATCTCGCTGCCCAGACCGATTTCCACTGCTCCACCGCCAGCAACCCCACAGCCGGGTTTCCTGTGCATTGATCTGGTCAGCTTGCCGGATCCGGACGAATCGGATTGGATGATCGCAGCGGACGCTGAAGCCGTTGTTGCAGCAGACAATACCGCCGGTGGTAAATCCACCTCCATCCGTCACTCTTTTGGAACAAGTGCAACTGCCGGCTCGTCCTCCTGCTCTTCGGTCTCAACCGGTCGTCGTAAAGAAGGTCGTAAATCTTCGGCCAGTTCTGTTGCTTCTTCCAATCAGACAAGCAGTTCTACACTGACAAATGAAGCTCATTCAACCACATCCGGAAGACGATTCTCACTGCAAATCAGTGCATTAGCTACCTTGCAGGTAAGCAACCAGTGGGCTTGTAATGCTGCTTTTGGGTGTAGAAGATTTCCTCCGCAGTATGGATGTTAGCTCGATCCAAGGCCATTGGGATTACTTTATCACGGTGGGAATACCGAATTTTGCCTTACTCTATTTACTGCTCTGCTTTTTTCACGAATACATTGTTTTTAGACGGTTTCTTCTAATACGTCTTTCCAATCGACTAACCGGCACACCAGAAAAGCGTTCCTGTAGGATTCGGTTTTTATTTCAATACATTTCTCCGTAAATACTGGCGAGTAGATGATCTTTCATTAGAGTATGGCTTTGATACAGACTTATCCAGTATATTACCGTTCCCACTCCGCTGTTGAACAAAATTGTTATCTTAATGTTCGCAGTGAAAAGATCATAGCTTGTGGTTGAAGGGGCTCAACGAAAGAATGTAGTGATCACTCCTGTAGTGGATTTACTTCAGAGAAGTTAGCCCTTATTTTTCCTTCTACCACAACCCATCATGATCTTCGAAGCGACTGACCCTACAAATTCATTTATACACTACCATTTTCCAGTTTTAAGCGATTTGTTTCCTGTGGTGTTATCGATTTCTATTTCATAGTCATGTGATCACCCGAACAATGATAGTCTGTCCCTCAACTATATCAGCGCGCGTGTATGTACTCGCCTGTTTCATGTCGCGTGCGCCCTCAAAATTTGTAGCCCTTCCGCATTGGTCTGTCCACTTCCGCATCCTAAATCCGATGCATTTGGGTTGTTTGCCGATCAGTCANNNATCGCTTTATCAGTCTGAAAACACGGGGAGACTACGCACCCGTCACGCGTTGAACGTGAACGCGAGCATGAACGAAAAGTACATATTCCGTTTTGATTACCGCTGTGCCATAAAGTGTTGCAGTTATCGACCGATATTTCCTTATGCATATATGTGTACGACCTCATAATGCGTATCAAAACATCAGGCGATCGTGCCATTCAGACTGTTCATTTGGGTTTCATCACCGGTCGGTTGAGACAGTGTTATCTCTCGTTGATGGAGCACTTAGGTTTTATTTACGTAGATATTATATATATATATATATATATATATGCTTATGGACAAATCGTTCATTTTTTATTTATCTGCACTAATCTATGGTGTTGATATTAAATGTACTGGTTTATTATGTTTGAAACGAGCTACTTTGTTCCCTGAGGTAATCATTCATAACACAATTGGTGATTTCACTGATTATTAAGGAACTTCGTGGGCAGAAAAGTAAATCGTTAATTTAAATAGTCCCTACTATAGTGTGCAACTCATGATCCTTGAAAATGCATGAGCACAACGATTGTTGGTTTTTATGCTGAGCACGGAAAAATGTGGAAGGATTTTTGTGTTTACAAATCTCCCCTCCCCTCACCCTTTTGAAATAAAATCTGAAGTCCGTATGAAAGCAATGTGTTTATCGCCGTTTCTTTTCTCGTGGTCTTTCATTCAACTCACCACCCCGGATTTCGTTGACGGTTCTCTTCGCCGTATGGCAAAGTGCTCTAAATTATGATATTCATCGCTCCCATTGTGCTCCCATTGACGTGACGTGCGAAAAAGAATTAGGTTTCTTACTGTCCAGTTCGTTATATGTGTTAGTCACCCTGATCCTTACGACCAATAGATGTTTCATCTAGAAGAAAGTATTGACATGGCTTTAGTCTAACTGTGCTTTGAGTTTCAACCCCGAACTGTTTACTTTTTTCTTTCTCTCTATCTGAGCAATTATTTGTAATTATTGTCTTCTGTCATTATTCAGAATCTCGAACGCCTCCTGATGCAGCGAACCTACGTTAGCCAGCTCATTCATGACGGGCTGTGGAATCCGGATCATGACTATGGCCTAAATCTGAGCTCGTGGATCGGTACGGAACAGGATTCAGCTTTTCGGGACGATGAATTTCGTAACCTACTTGATGTGCACATTCTGGACGAAGATAGCGATCCAAACGGGGCAGATGGAGATGATCGTGAGGACCCAGGACTTTCCCGAAGTGATCGACATCGCCGTCACCGCCGTGTGGATAACGAAGTTGATGTGGTTGTGCTACTCGAAGATGAGGACGGTAATGAAGAAGTTGGTAGCACTGCTGAAGGGCGTGGTTCGCGTGGTCGACATGAGCGATCACGTGGTCGTGGAACTGGGAGTTCCGATTTTTCGATTGGGTTGAAACGTTCGCATCTATCTGGTGCAACTGGTCGAGCTCACCGTCGGACCACGGGATCCTCTACCACTGCTAGTAGTCACAATCGTCGGTCCGATCGTGGGCGTCTAGCTCACCCCAACACCCAGTCTCAAAATACCACGGAAAATTGCACCTTCAATTCTTTGCCCGCCGTTAATCGTGTCATCTATCCAGGTTTGTTCTATTCTCCAGTGACTGAACCTCAATCTGGTGTAGAGACCCGGGCGTCAGATGGAACGGTTCGTGGTTTACGCACCATTCTACAGCGCTGTCCGAATGTAACCCCATCATCCCATACAGGAACGGATGCAGAGCCCACTGTCACTGTTCCCGAAGCTCTCAGACCCGTAGACACTCGGGGTTCACGTCGACGTTCCGTCACAACGACTCAAGGCAATCGTGAAGTAAATCTAGCAGACTTACGTTCACTTGCTCTATCCTCTGTTCCTAATGAGCACGTTCATACTCGTTCCCATGCGGACCATTTAATAGTTGGGCAAGAGGTGAATAGTCATGTTCGCTCTGATCAAAACCCCCGACTATTGTTGTCCACCGCTTCTCATTCTCACAAATCTGCTGTGTCACATGATACCGGATCCGCTAATCCGTCAACCAGCGTCGGAAACAATGGTAACAGCAGTGGTATGACGCGACATCGACGCTCGAAGGGCGGTTCGTTTTTCGCCGCACTGGGTGCACTAGCTAATTTATCAACAGCCAGCAATGGAACAAGCACAAATACTGCCTCTCACGCTGCGGGATCTCGCTCAGGGGGAAAGTCTTCGCATTCAGGTGCCGGAACTGGTTACGGTTCGTCGGTTCGGCGTGCGTTTACAATGCATCATCATTCCCCACAATCAGTACAATCTTCTTCCAACTCGTCCGTTCAGTCGTCCTCATCCTCATCTGCGTCGTCGATGTCTCCTCATCCTTCCCCGGTTTCACCATTTGGACGTGTGGATGGACATTGGACAACTGGAACAAATGCAGCTGGTCACTTACGCCACTCCAGCAAACATGGTCGCCGTCCATGTACCATTCAGTTCTTTGTGGGTGGACATCAGCTTCCAGCTAAAATGGCCCTGTTCGAGGCAATTCGTAGATATAGCACGGAATTCGCGGATCGCTTGTCTACAGCTATCTCAAATGCGGACCGACTTAGTTCGGCATCAAGGTTATCCACTCCATTCTCGGGTGTGAACAACAAATTGACGGATCAAGAGGTTGAAGATTTGGTATGTTCTTCTTAATGATACTCTGTACTCTCATACTGTTCAGTTAAGATTAGGTTACTGTGTGACCGGTTTTGGTTCACGTTGTGATCTTCATCACTAATCCACTTCCAGTTAGGTTTGAGATATGATTATAAGAAGAAAGATTGGTCTCCAAATTTTTTGCGAAGGAAATAACAATGTCTCCTCAATAATTTGTCGTTACGGAAATGATTCCTATGAATTCCTTTATTCACAAAATCAAATAAAACTAAGTCCCTATCTATGGCGATTGTGAAAAGTTCAGTAGCCTCAGTGGGATTTGAAGCCACGCATGGACACCGCCTACGCTTTGTACGCGCACGCTCTACCAACTAAGCTATGAGGGCACTCCCATAGCACTGATGTTTTCAATTAACCTTGCCCCAGAAGCTCATTCGGTGGACTCCGGTGAATTCTGAGGAAAACCTATCGGAGCAGTCAGCTTACATGCTGATTGGTGGATGCCATGTGACTCTGTAAGTTGGAGATGAGTAATTCGAAAGTGAAAAGATCACTGCTATCGGTGTGGCCTCGTAGCTGAGCTGGTAGAGCATGCGCGTACAAAGCGTAGGCGG